TATTGAATTATTACACAGTTCATCAGTGGTTGAATAAAACACAATTAATAGGAGAACACTAGAGTATATTTCAGTGCTTCTACTTTAGACACATAAGAACGACTGACTAGTTATATTCTTATCATATTTTTATCTTCACACCCCAGACCTATTCGAGGGCATTGTTAAAATCCATTAATATAAGATTACGGCGCACGTAGGAATGCACAATCATTATCCTAAATAAACATGGTCATAAATAAGTAAGACCCTTCAGTTTTATTCGTTTCCCTTGACACTTATCAGGCCAGCTTTCTGGGAACGTAGATTCGTTTTTGTACATCATCTGTTTAGATACATATTTCAACAAATTGACTGCACTGAACAATAATCAAACTCAACTTTATTTCACTTTAAACTATTATTCGAATGTCTTTAGCCTTACTATGTCGCTTCGCGTACCGCACTGTATCTTCCACTTGACTGTCTCGATGGGCCAGTGGATGGCGCTTATATTTGGCAATCGAAGGCGGCGGAACATTCCTTGGAATTCCATCGAAGACGGTAGCATTATTCTCGCTACATCTAGAACGGCAGCGAACATCGTAAATTCGCGCGCTCTTAGCTACGTCACAATTGGTTTATGGCTATCAGTGGCGGCCGGCGTTATTTTCTTTAGGGCATGATTAACAACAGTGTTTTCAAAATAAAATCTAATTCCTGAGTCATTGAAAACAGGCTTCTTTTAGTTTCTTATTATTAATAGACCAAAAGTTCTTAAGCGAAGACATGAACACAGTGAATCTTGTTTAAAAGAACAGTTCATAAGTGCCTCCAATTTTAATTTTATTTCGTGAATTGTGAATGTGAATTACCCCCTTAAACAGTCAATTTTAAAAAGGAATATTCTCATGGCCACCTTGAATTAAACACATTTTGTTTCTAATGTACTTTTTACAGAAAGGCTTATAACTCGCTATATTATGACTTACTACATTGTAAAACCAATTGTTATATTACAGTACCTAAATATTGACAGTATTAAAAAGGTTAAAATGGGCATGAATCATGAACATTATAAGACCTTCATGAATTAAGCATGGATAAGCTATGAATTTGAATGCTATGTACCTAGAAATATTTGTCAAATAATGATATCTCATTTTACCAACTATCGCCAAATATTTTCATCTAATTACAAAATTAATATATTTCCATATTTAACCTTCTAACAGAATTGAAGAACAAACTTTTTACCTAGCTCTTTTAATCAGAGTAAATATGAGTTTGTATAACTGAGAAAATGTCCAGTCTCTTATTGTTAAGCTGAAATGTTTATAATTAAAAAATAACCATTTTTTTAAAAATACTGCAGTATACACAAAAACGTTTAACATAATTTTTTGTCTATTTCAGATCCTCTGACGAAGTCCTACATGTACTAGGAAACATATTAGGTAGTTTACAGAAAGGGCGTACCAGTTTGATAGTACCTAGAAAAAAAACTATTTACGATTTATTGAAGAGTCGTAACATGGTATAACCCTAAATGCATGTTACAATAAATGAGAGTGTTACAGTGTTTTTTTTTTTGTAGAAATCACTTTCTCCACCGTTGGCAGAAGACTTGGCTATAAGTTTTTATATACAAAGTCACAAGCTGGTATTTGTTATGTATCACTTAATGAATAACCAGGGAGTGATGACTCCTGATCCTACACCAGCAGAATGTTCAGTGCCTTGGCTTAATGAAGTATTAGTACTTTTTACAGTTGGATTGCAACTTTGCCAACAGTTGAAAGATAAGGTGAGATGAATACCTAAAAATGAATTGCTGAAGTTGTAAGTTAGAGAAATGATTATTCTAAAATGTGAATAATACCAATAAATGCAATGTTAGTACAAAAACAGAATCCATGTCAGGTTAATATCAATTTCGGTATCATTAGAACAAATTTCAAAAGTGATTTGAATAAAATATTTTTTTAATGTTTCCTTAATCCTATAAAACGAGATTTAACCAGTTTTAATGAAAACGTTGAATTTCAAATGAAAATGGTGCCCTGGCAAGGGATAAAATAATTCAAAAAAACCATGTTGTAAAAAAAAATATTATTTTTGTGTATTTGTTAATGTAGCTGATGATACATAGTGTATATTTTTCAGAAGTATGAAATTTATCAAGAAATTGTTATTCTTATTTAAGCAGAAATGAAGACAACATTTGTTACATCTTATGTATGAAAATGATTTGCATGAAGGGAACTTGCATATGGGCCAGTGACATGGCTCCTTCCAGCTTGATGTCTTTTGGAGGGATTTGAGAAGTTGTAGCAGAAATCTGCTTTTTAATTTTTTAGTTAAGAATGTCTATGAGATCGACTTCTTCCAGATATAATATTTGGATACTCTATTTTAATTCATTTTTTGACTCTCACTAAACCTTTGTACAGTTGTTTCAGGAAGAGTTTCCAGCCAATGCATGAGACATCGACACCATTGAAGGTGCAAACATATTCACACAAAGTACTTGTGGCCATTTTCTTGAATTTATTTTTTATGGAACCTCGCAATTTGAAATCTTGTTTCTGCTTAGTCTTCATAGAAAATATCCTCATTTTTGCTAAGCATGATAACAACTGAAGACTTGTAAAAAATTTATCAAGTACACTACATAATTTTTATTCGTAGGAACAATTCTGCATAATCGTTGCACTAAGTTTACAGTTTTCTAAGATCTTCCTTAGTGTTTTGAACAAGAAAATTGCCACCTTTTTTTACATATACTTTAGAATTGTTGAAGTCAGATACTTTCAATTACAGGTCTAATTTTGAACAGTTTGTCATAGTTAGGTTCTTCTTCAGGTGATATTTTAGTGTTCTCATTGAAATTTATAAATTGGCAAATTTTGTCATACCTACCTCTTTTTTTTAGTCATTTTTTTATTTGAGTCAAACCCAACTATTGGTATATGCATAAGAGACATACATATATACAGGGTGTCCCTGAAATTCCTCCTATCGGAAATGTATGAATGGGTTAAAATATCACCAATACTTCATATAACTTTTGGTCCTAAAATCCTTCGTTACCTACCAACTTACAGGCTCTCAAATTTACAAAATGAAAAATGTATTTTTTTCATAACTTTTCAAATGAATATTCAAAATCAAATGAATTGCTTTGACGAGCTTTCATGCAAGAGTCAGTTGTTTTGCTACATAGTCAAAAACGGACTATGCCTGATAGTCAGTTGGTTAATGGATAAGCAATGAGAGGATATGCATTTTATTTATCTAGTTTTATTCACTGATGAAGCAGGTTTAAGTAAAGATGGAGTTTTATCAACTCTCATAATGGCTGAAGAAAATCCCCGTGGGATATTGCAAACCAAACACCAACGGAAATTAAACGTGAATGTTTGGGCTGGTATCATAGGAAACCATCTCATAGGACCATTTGTTCTACATGACCGATTGAATGGCAAACGTTATTTGGAGTTACTTCAGAACAATTTCCATCCATACATTCCCGAGAAGAAAAGAGGAAGTCCAGGGACACCCTGTATATACCCAAGTATTTACTAATTTTTTGCTGGGTTATATTTGGATCTGTTTGTATTGAGTAAAAGTTTGATTCATCAACTATTTTTTGAGGGAAGTTGTTGGAAAAGAAATATTCGAAAAATGAATAAGGTGTGCTAAGATTCATGTCAGCAGACAGTTGTACGATACCTCTGAATGATTTTGCTGTATCATCTAGGACTAAGTTGTTTTTCTTCCAGGTGACTGAGGGCTTTTGAATATCAGTGCGATTACAATTAGTTCTATCTGTCACTCTTCTAGGTCAGATTTGTCATCATCTGAATTATCTAAACTATCCACACTTTCCACTTTAGAGTCCCAGTGATGCTCAGCATAGCTGTGGGTTGGTCCGAATACACTATAGACCTATAGATGATAAGATAAATAGTAGGTGAAGAAAACACTTTTGATGATTGCAGTAATGGTAAAAATTTTAAAAAAGAACGACATTAATTTTACACCGATTGTATGTATATTATTCTGTTATTTCAAATTTTATTTTTCTAATTCTGCATTCCGCTGTATAGCAAAGCAGATTCATCTGATTTAATGATGAAATTTCTTTTAAAAACGATATATAAAACGAAATGGATATTTATTTTAAATAAATAGGTAATTTCATGTAAAATAGTAAAATATTGCTGAAAACAAAGAATTACCCCAAAAGTTATAATGAAGACCTACCAAGTTGTTTGCCTTTCTTACAAGTAGCATTTTTTTGCTCGGCTAAAAATTTATGAGACATTCAACTTTGCAATTTATTGTAGGATGTTGAAAATTTTACTAGTTATGTTGAACAATCTTAATAATTTTATTTTATTTTGCAGATCTGCGTGTTTTCACAGTATAAAGATTTTACTGTAGGTTCGAGACCTGCTAGCCCCCAGTCTTGTTAACTAAGAATCTCGATAAGTGTTTAAATTGCATCGTCAATTTTGCTAGTGTCAACTACTTATATTGTAAATATTTTAGATATTATTAGAATATGTAATGTATATAATTCATGTTACAACTTCTAGTGTAATTTATAGTGAGATATTACATTGTGAAATGTATTTTAATATCGAGTTGGTGATAAATTTCACTAATGGCTGAAATGAATTTTAAAGAAAGCTTAAATATTATCAATTATTTATTGTCTAGAATGTGGAACACTCAAAAGTTTTAATAAAGGCATCTTAAGAAAACAATACAAGTTCATTATAATTTCTGTTAAACCTTTTTTTGGTGTTTTTGCTGTCTCTTTGAAGTTTTCAGGAGACTTGTACCAGTAAAAGATTAATGGCTCATGTAACCCGCATTCACAATAGCGGCTGTTTCATGAGTGTTGATAATGCACTTATACGCTGTCCCAATGTTACCCCAATCTTTGGGGTAAAGTTTGGACGAATAAATTTTTTTTAATAAAATACTA